AGGGGCTGGGAATAAGCGAGTTTTTAGCAGAAACCTGGGCAGTGCTGCTGTGCTGTTCCCCTTTGAGTGACAGGGTGAGCCAATTACCTGGGCTGGCTGCTGTGCAGACGAGCAGGGTTCACCCACAGGCCCGCAAAGCTGCTTGCAGAGAAGGTATTTAGCGACTGCGAGGGTTTGGGAGCTTGGCTGTCCAAGGGCCACCGATAGCTGCGCACTTACCCAGCTGGGAGATGGTGCTGGCGGAGCCCCCAGCACCGTCCCCACAGACACCCCGTGCCACCACAGTGTTCAGACAGCGTCCGGAAAGCTTCTGGGAGAAACCGGCATCGTTGCTGGGCATCACTCCCTTTGCCGCAGCTGACAGTACCTCCCTTGGACTTGTGCTGTGTTGCTGCTTAAAGCACGCTGCTGGCATGGACCTGCGGGCGGTGAGGAGAGCTGCGCTGGCTTAGCATCAGCTTGGCTCTTTTTCACCCCTGGGACTGGGAAGGTTTAGATTCCCCTTGGTCGTCTGTGCTGGCCTTCAGCAAGCTGTGCCAATGGAGGAGGGCAGGGGACAGTAAGCAGTAGTGTCACCATCAATCACCTATCGCCATGGGGAAGCCTCAGCCCTTGTCTAAAACGCCGCTGTCCAAGTGGTGTAAATATTAACAGCTGCCTCAGTTTGCAGCGTTTTCATTACTGCTCACACCAGTGCTGCTCACGCTTTGTATCATCTGCAAGGGAAGCCATGGGGCATCTTATTTAAAACCCCCCTGTGCTAACAGGGATCGCCAACAGCTGCAGCAGCCCCTTCAAGCAGCCAGGAGCCCTGGGCGGAGGGAAGCGATGCACACCCTGGCAGCGAGCTCAGGCTCAGGCAATGCCATGTCAAAGCGGGGCAGGGCACTGGCCATGCCAGGACGAACTGTGCAACCGGCTGCAAAGAGGCTCTGCCCATCCACCGTCTGCCCACTGCAGGACAAAAGCACTAATCCTGCCCAGCATTTCCCAGTGACGAGCAGTTCAGGCATAATGAATGCCGCTGCATTTGTCATCTTCCTGTACTCCAACTTGCTGTGGATTATTCTCCATGATGGAGCAACCCACAACCCATCAAGTGACACATCATCCACCCCCAACAAGTAAAGAAACATTCTCAATCAAAAGGATTTTACCTTTTTTGCCCCTCTAAGGGCAGCAGTTCAGGTGAGAAGGGGAGCTGAGTACCAGAGATCCCTGCCTCTGCTGGGCACTCATCCAGTACTCTCAGCGTGATCCCTTCAACACCCCTGCCACTGCTGGCATTTTAAAAAGGCAAAGGCAAAAGAGACAGAAGAGCCTTCCCTTCCCCCGTCCCCTCCCGTAAGTCATTTTCTCTGGCCTACTTTACAGGAACTGAAAATCTATTAGAGGAATAGCTTAATCCGGTTTGACTGTAATAATTAGGGTGCTTTAAAAAAACCCTGACTAATCGTATAAAATGTGATTGTAGACAGTTCAGTGCATGACCCTTACACTTATCGCTTGAGGTATTATTACAAACCAGAAACAGCTGGCAAGCACTGAGGAGGATAAAGGGGAAAAAAAAATCACATGCCAAGGGACATGGACTGTTCCTTCACTAATCCTGTAACAGAGGCACTGGCAGCGCCTTGAGCTGTCTTTCTAGCGCAGATCCAAAGCATGAGGTGACCTCCAAGACCTTGGACAGACACCTCAGATTTTGCCAACAGTGCACCCTGCCAGCTGCAGGGTCCGACCATCGGCACCTCCTTTTCTCACACGGCTTTTGTGGGCAGTCCAAGAGGATTTGAACTGCGGTGGAGCGATTCCCCTTGGGGCGCGCTGCTGTCAGCAGATGTTTGTAGCAACAATGGGCAGCTTTTCCAAAACAAGACAGTCTGTATTAGTCAAGCAGGATATAGTGCTTTAGGGTCATTGGGTTATGACAGGAAAGCAATGCTTCCATGTCTTGGCTGGCAGCAATCTCTTTTTCTCTTGCTCTCTATATTTCTCAAGCCCCAGCAGCCACAATTTATTTCTTCCCTCCCTTCCCAAGCCTAGGCTGGGGGCAGCTGAGCTCCCATCTCGGCATCACCACACCTTTAGTAAGGCTGTTTTTTTCCACATGTTCTGGCAGTGATTCCACAGGACTGCTGCCTGTTCAGGATGCCCTGGTCCCCGCAATCACCAGCTCAATCATGTGCTGACACCTCTTGTTCATCCCGTCCTACCACTCCAGCCAGGACAAACTGTCCAGGCACCCACCTCCTGCATGACCATCTCAGAAGAGAAATCAACTCTTCCAGTCTCAATGGCCATTGGTAGAGAATTCAAAATCTGTGCCTGCTGCAGGAAAAGATGCCCAAAGGGACTCATGCTTCAGCAGGGTCAGTCACAGAGGTTGGCCATCACACAAATGTTGGGAGAAGCACAGGGAAGTCTCTTGTTTGTCAGTACCATTCAGAGCTGAGACTGAGCCCTCACCAAGTCCCCAGAAACACTGCAGAGCCAGTCAGGAGCACCAGACTTCAGAGAGAGACGACAGCCAGGATGAGACTGTACTATCGCCAATATGCTACTTTAATCAGCATTTAAAACGTATGATCAACCTTGAGGAAGGCTGAAGAAGACTGCAATAAGATGTACTACAATTTCAATTTACTCTCTCTCTGTTACTGTGATTAAATTATGTCGTTGATCTTGGAAGCTCTACTGCAGCTTGTACAAACACCATAATAACAACATTCACAGTAATGGAACTTGCAGCTGGAGTTGGGTTGTTTGGTTTCCTTTGCTCTCCCATGAGTCTTCCTTGGGTCTTTTTTCCCATTCTGCTCCACATAGATTTTGATCTTTATTAAATACTAATGGTTACCCCCACTGACTCACTTATCTAATAATAGCTAGAACCTTTTAATTCAAATTATATGATTCCTGGGTTTTTTAGATTAAAGTAAACATATGGTTAGAGTATTACTGGGAGAGTGGCACTAGAAATACCACAGTCAATTTAACATGTGACTCAATTCTGCAAAGCACGCTGAATCCTTTTAATACATTTCACAAATACTCAGTGGTGACTTCTAACACCAGAGTGGTTTCTGTCCTACAGCAGCTCAGTTTCACAACTCTGAATACACTTTTTTTGGAAGGAAAGCCATCCACAGGGTTTTAGAGAACATTCTTTAGCCTCTGGGAATAAGCCAATTTAATGCCAGGGTATCATTCCATTTCAAGGAGTTGAAGGAATTGAGGAAACACAATCTGCTTTCTGAACAATGTGAGATGAATATACTTGTGGTTTCATTAGAAACCAAGCTGCAGAGTTTGGATACAGAGCTCAACTTTTTCAAAGTTCAGCTCTTGGTGGCTCTTGGTTTGTCAGCTGCATTTCCCTGCAGCGCTCTTTTTGTAAGGGCCCTTCTGAAGGAGCCTGCTCCAGCACAGACGGACACTTGCACTGCAAGTAGATGGCAAAGGAGACATTGCTGCCTGCCAAAGTTTCTATCACTCATGGGTCTTAAAACGGGAAGGGAGAGGAGGATGCTCCATAAAGTCAAGAATCACGAGTAGAAAATATCTCCACTTGCTTTGAAGATCACCTCAGCTTTAATTACTATTTCTCTATTTGCTACTGAAAAAACAGCAGGAGCATAGGGAACAAACCCCCAGGGATTAAAGAGGAAAACAGCAGGCTCTGAAAACACCTCCTGAAAGGCAGAGTCGCCTCGGGTCCTGGGCAAAGGTGCAGTCTCCACTGCAGCCACACTCGCAGCACCAGGCACACATGCACACATTGCCACCCACCACAGCACGAGTCACAAAAAAAACCCGCCGCAGCCAGAGACACTCAGTCACATCTAGCTTTATTTTAATCCCGTCAGAAAAGTTCAAGAATTACACCAAAAAATACTTCAGTCTCTGCTACCTACTGACAAAAAATACACCACAAAATTATAAACTGTTCAGTGGTTTGCTGGAGTTTTGATTGTTTGGGGAGGGTGGTGGTTTGTACATTTTGAGTGAGAAATGAATTTACAGGTGGAAGGGGGAGGAAGGATAGGAAATCAGACAATGGCATTTGGCACTACATTTTTAGCTACACTATACAGTTATTTATCATGATGCCTGTTAGGACTGAGGAGTTCTGCCCCCATTTACACCCTCTAGTGTCTATGTATGCAAAATGGAGGACAAAACTGCCCAATGCAGGGGAAGAAGGGGCCAGTTCCTAATTTCCATCCCAGTCTAGCCATAAATCTGATAAAGCAGCCTTAGTCAAATGTGAATCTTGTCCTTGCTGTGCACTCTGCTCCTGCCTCCGCTATCAAGTGGCAGAGCTGCTCTGCAGCAATGGGGCAAGCAGCAGCTCTGAAGAAAGAGAATCCTTTTCTTAAAATCCCACCAGTCTGCACTAATTGCACACGCCTTTTGTGGGGAGAGGATGTTTTACATTGGTCAGGACTGGATTAAGCTTGAGGTCTGGTCTGTGTTTGCAAGCAGATTTGATGGGACCCCTGTACTCTGAGAGCATGCTACGGCCATCCCTCTCTAATTACCTAGAATGACATTAAATACTGAAGAATCTGAAGTTGAAGGAGGGAAGCAGGAGCATCCCATTTCATGGGCAAGGGAAAATTAGGGGCTGAAAAGCTAAAGGCTCAATACTGTTCTGTTCTATCACCAATCCTGTGAGGCTCCCCAATTTATAATGTCATTTCTTTGTCTCCCAGTGACTCTCTGGAGAGAGGTCCCAAAGGACGAAGCCTCATGTAACCTGCCAATGGTCACACAGGAAATCTGTGCCAGCAGCAGAAATAAAGCCCTTCATACCCACATAGCAACCAGGATTTCAGGCTCAGAGCCCAGCCAAGATCACCAGCACAGTGGAGGCTCCTTGGGAATGCCTGGGTCTTGCTGGATTCACTTAGGCCACTGTGCAGGGAGGGGTGTGTGTGTGTTTGCACGTGTGTATGTTCAAGGAAGGAGAGGATGCCTGCATTTTTCTATCAGCAAATGAACACTGATGCTAGATTCAGTTTGACAGCAAAATATCCCTCCTTTGGCAAACTAAACAACATCACAATGTCTTCTACCCCTTCTCTTGAAAGGATTTCAGCTGTTCCTTCACTGCATGTTAAGCCTCTGTCACAGCTTTCCAGCAATGATAAAACTTCGCGGGATTCTCTTTGCTGCTTTTATCCTTTCTGGCTGTTAATCTAATTTGCTTTTTTTGTTTTTTAATTTCTTTTTCTAACAAATAGTTAAGCAATGATTTAAAAATATTTTTACATTGTAAGGTACAGTCAACATCAAACATGCCTTTGTACAAGAGCTCGACTCGGTTACAAATCAACAAGAACAATGCACGAAAAGAAATATCCATTAAGATGACTCCTGCACTTGGGTTTTATTTACTCCTGTTGTGCTGCTAGCACAGCACCCTCAGCTAGAGCAATGCGGTATAGACCTGGTGTTGTCCCCCCACCCTCCCACTTTGCCCATCACCACTTGTTAATTTTAATGACCTTCTGTCTTGGCAGCCTTGGCTTCGTGGTTTACCGATCCTGAAGACAGCCAGGGTGATACGGCGCGGGAGCTGGTCTGCTTGGCCATGCTGTAGTGGCTGATGACGGTGTAGAACCTGCCCCGGGAGTTGGAATCCTGTGCAGAGTAGTACGCGTCCAGTGAGGCCGGGATGCACCGCTTGTGCTGGGAAGGGGGAGGAAGCAAGAGAGGTAAAGAGTGGCCCTACCAGACTCAGGCTCTCGATTTAAAAATCCCAGGGTTAGCTGTTCGCAAGGATGACGTTTGTCTCAGACTGGCTGCAGTGAGAGCATCTGCTGCACGGCCCCGACTGCCTTTCAGCACCAAGGGAATGCACAAAGTTTAGAGTCGGGCAGCAGCCTTCAAAACCTGTTGCTACTGGCAACCCTGACTGCAGGCTGATTTCATCTGTGGATGGGAAACGGGGACTGCAAAATGACGGCCTGACTGGTTTGGTACAGTATTGGCACGCACAGAGACCGAGGCCCCTTGCTGGAGTCCCAGCAGGGCTGGCTGAGCGGCTCTTATCACGTGTTGGACTGAAAGCTCTGTAGAGCGAAGTCCAGAATTAATCCTCAGACAAGCAGAGGACAGGCAGAGGCAGAGTAAGCTGCTTACGTGCTGCTCTGTTACAGCGCTGTGTTCTCTCTGACCTAGAGGATGACCACCTCGGTCAGGGATGGGAGGAAGCCAGCCCTTGTCAGATCTTCCTGGCTGTGCAGACACTGCCATGCACCTCCGCTGCGCTACTGCGGACACTTGTGTGCTAAGAACTGCTCTGTGAAAACAAATCGCTTTGCCACAGCTGTAAAAGAGCAATCAAATGGTAACAAACACCGGACTGGTTGGTGTTCACCAGTCAGAGTAGCACCAAGGACACAAAGGGACCCAGGTACAATTATTATTAAATCATGAGATACCCCAACGCCCAGTTCAATGTGACTAGCTGAATTCTGAGCCCAAAACCTTTAATCTTTTCAGAAGTTCAGGTTTGGATCTGATTCTGAAATTCATGACTCCATCTTAACTTCATTTTTATATCACCTATGAGGATAATTCTCAATGACCAATACACCAACTTGCATACTCTATTTTCCAGTCCACAGACTACCCCCAGTGTGGTCAAGACTCCTGTGAGTTTATGAGTTTATTCACAGTAAGGAGTCAGTGAACTGTTTTGGAAGTTGGTGGGTTTTTTTTAAATCTCAACAAACCAAGCAGCTAGCTCTCTGTGAATATTCAATAAAAAACCACTGAGTTTTATATTGGTTTTACATGGTTTTGTTCTTGATAGAGGCCCAAAACCACCTAAAAATTAACTACATGGGCAAACTTGGATTTCTTTCACAAAGGATGCATTTGCCAGCGCTCTGGGGGTTTATTTTGCATTAAAATGTGTACCAGTAAACCTCAGTCACTTGAGCACGTGGGAAGCAAACACAGGATTCCAGCTGCAATAAATCCATTCACAAATCTAAGGGATTGTTCCTGAACATCTGTCTGTAGTGTTCAGCAAATGCTGACCCCAACAATTATCGTGTAACAGTAGCTGATGGAGGCAGATGCAAGTCCACATTTCCCATAACTTTTCCCATTGCAACACATTCTTGCCAAATGTTGCGTTTGGCCTGGTCAAAGCAGCAGACCAGGCTGTAACCGTGTACTCAATTAGTGTCTATCATTAGCTCAGGCAATTCATCCGTCTGAAGTTTCTTACCTTATAAACAAATCCATCTGGGCAACTGTGGTCGTAAGTAAAGGCTTTGTATACCACAAGAAACACTATGCAGGCAAGGAATGCAAGAGCCAGACTTATGAGAATAGTGACCTACAAAAGAGGGATAATGTTACTCTACAAATGTTAAAATGGCATATGAGCAACCTCATAATTAAATGACTTATAGTAACAGCCATCCTAACAGACTGCAGTCTTCACTCCACTGTGCAGTACTTAACTAAGCATAGTAATTGAATGAATGCTAGATCCAATAGCCCTGAATTCTCACATCATTTCCATCCCCCACAGACCTTCAGGAGTGCACATTCTTCTGCTTAATCCCTTGCAAGTGCATGGGTTTTGCTGAGGCTTTTGGTGTTCTTGGTGGCTTTGTTCCCATGCTCTCAGCTGTGCAACCAGCAGCTTCATCTGCTGGCCCAGCAGGATCCGCCAGCAGGCAGAGTCCACATTTGGGATCTAATCTGCGCAGATAAGCTGCCGTATAACCATGGTGAGAGCCCACTTTTCTGACAGCAGAGGTAGGTGAGCAGGTAGGAAGAATGAAGCCTTTGTAGCACACATCTCTTTGTGCCTTCTGGGTGGTGCCACAGGGCTAAGTTGTGCCTCACTCTGCAGAAGGGAGGGCAGGAGAAAGGGACTCCTTCTCTATTTATCAAAGCTGTAAAAGCAGAATACTCTGACAACTGACAAAGCCCAGCACTGTGTCCTCCATAGCACCGAGCAAGGGTCCCAATGCACTCTCATTCTCCTCTTCCCCAGAGCTTTCTTGGTCCCAGCTGGTAATTTCACAAATGCAGCATAAATGGCTCTGGACTTCTACTGCCTAACTTGCAGCACCCCATCCTGTGAGACTGCTGTCTCACACTGATCTGGATTGACGTGAAAAAAATAGCGTAATCCCTGGGGCTCCAGTGTTACCATGAAAACTAGAGTTCCTAATCAAATGGACTCACTCACAGAAATGATGGGGGTGGGAAGAGCAGTAGGGGAAACATATAAAGCTTTTGCACAGCCAGCAGTGTGGGGAGGGAGCTGCGGCAGCTCCCTGGCTTGCTCTGGCTCCCTGGGACTGAACACCAGCAGCAGGCGCGCAGGGTGTTTGCCTGCATGGGGAAGGGGCTGCAATGTTCCTGTGCTCACTGAGCCTGTGTGAGAGCTCACACTCAAGTTCCTACAGCAAAGGGCTGAGATCAGGCATGGGTTAGCAGGAGGGAGAGTGATCAATGAGGCTTTTTCCTACCCACAACCTCAGTCTGTTTGCTTCTGAATACCACTTTCCCATCACGGCACCAGAAGCTGAGTGAATTTCCCCTGGTCACATCAAAAGCCACTCACTGAGTGACCTGCAGTGGTAGGACGTGCCAGGGGCTGTCTGCCTGACCTTGGCTAATGCCCCTGACTGCGGGCATGCTACCACCATACACAGCATGTGCTCACCCTCCAAAATGCGCCCCAGTCCCAATTTTGGGGCTGCATGTACCTGTGCTAAAGGCAGTTATTACCATTTACTGCCCTAGCACGGAAGAGCCACATTTTTTTCAGCTCCATCTAGTCATTCAGGGTTCATCTGCCCTTCTGTTGCTACAGTTGTCAAAATCCTCTTTATTTTCTTGTACGGGTGTTCAAGGAAACTGAATAGTAGGTACAGGCAGAAGCTGTTCCTTAACTAATGTACACTAATTGCTTAATATGGGTTCACACTGAACTTTGCTCCAATTCTCTCCTTCAGTCATCGCAGCAGCTGTAATTCTGAGAACCTGTATGATACGAAATCCCTGCACAGACTCAAAGGGGTCACTGTAATTGCTTGCAGTGCAGGAAAAGACTTCTCACCCTCATCAATCCTGCAGAAAGATGCACTGCCTGGTGAGATGTATTCCTGCATTGCACACAGCACAACGGGACTATTACTCAGAGAAGCTAAAGCAGCCCTGGCAATGCCACCTGCAATGCTGGGAGATCCAGAGCTACGATTTCAGTGGCTGTTTTAAGACAGAAAGAAAGAGTGAAGGTAAATCTGCATGTATGGTGTTAAATCTGACCCAGTACATTCACTTCAAAACTCAAGAAAGAGAGAGGCGTGGAGACTATTTCTAGCAGGAGAGATTTGTAAGTTCATTGTTAAATCAGAATATTTTAGAATAAAAAGTAAAAAGTAAGAAGATTGAAGCTAACAGGCTTTTCCAGTGCTGAATGGTTCACTGAAGCCCTAACCCGCCCTTTAGAATAACTGCTCATATTAACCTCCTCCTTGGGGCCTAATCTGCTGCAAAATGGGTCAATTAAGCAAAAGGCAGCGCAGAGGGAGAAGCACTCACTGCTGGATCTCATCAGGGAACACGCGTAAGAGAGTCCTGGTGTGCCGCCAGGGGAGCTGGTAGAGAAGGAGTGCAGCTGTATGAACTGCACTGGTCTGACCAAGAAAATACGGGCTCCACCTCCTCTCCAGCAAAGCACGCCTGCCTGCAAGTCTGACCGGAAATATTTCAGTCCAGTTTTGCGGTAGCCCATGGGGAACCTGGGAAACCCACATCCCTTTTCATAGTGCTGAAGGAAGAAGTCTCAGCTGGATTCAAGGGAGATGGAAATGGAACTTGCCATGATTTCAGCCCCAAAGAGAAGTCATATTACACTTGAAAAAGATGTTGAAGTGTCACTTTCAATAAATACAGTCAAAAGGAGAGACTTCTGGATTAAGTATGCCAACGTCGTCTACTTTTTCTAGGAAAGCTCTATCACAACCCAGCTCTGGCAGGGCAGTGTGGAAGAGCACTTTCCCCTGTAGAGTAAATGCCCATCAACTCTTCCCCATTTCAAAAAGGAGCACTTTAATCCTGGTACCTCCTCCAATAACAAATTACATAGAAATACAGAGATGACAAAGACACAAGTCCCTTTTGAGGTCAGTTTGAAGGCACTAAAGCAAGACGTACATCTTGCTCTACCAAAGCCAATGCAAGAGAGCAGCCCTGGCTAGAAATTCAGAGAATAAGAAATGCTCAGTTCTCCAGTTTCATTTCTCTGTCCTAAATACGATGTGCAGTGAAAAAAAGAAATCTTGCTTAGGTTAACCTGAAGGAACAAACTTGTGCTCAGGGCAAAGGAAGAGACAAATAGCAATGAAATTACATCAAATGCCACCTGGGAACGTGTATCTCTCATTCCTGAACAATAAGCAGCTGCTCATCCTCTGGCTTTCTTTAGTGAATACAATCTTCATCACCAGGGACAGCAAGAGCTGCACACTGGCAGGATGCACACACCCTGCACACACAATTCCTCCTGCCCCAGTGTCTACCCCCTTCCTTTCTCCTCCTCCGCATCCCTGTTTCCTCCATCCCAGAGGGATCCCTCAGGGCTGACTGCACCCGGAGAAGAGGCTGTGAAAGGGGAATATCCCTGAACTGTCAGACGTCTCCTTCACCCAGAATGACTCTGTGTCTGCCTTCTCCAAGAGCTGCCACCAAAGTTGCTTTGAAGGTTTCTCATTCAGAGCCACTAAAAATGGCCAAGCTCTTCTTTAGCCTTCAGGAAAAGAACTGAGCTGTCTGCGGCCAGAATGAATGTCTCTTCTTTTGTTAAACCCCACGTACATGCACAGCCTATGGAAATGACCATTAGTAAAGTGATCTGACTGGTTCCTTCCCTCTTGTCTGCCCACTGAGCCCCTAAAAATAATGAATTCCCCTTTGCTCTGTCACTCTGCCATGGCAAAGTGCTGACGCTCAGTTCACTACTCCCCAGGAGCAGGTCCCTCTGCTGAGCTGTCCCCTCCCTCCAGGCCGTAATTGAGCCCATGCTGGCCTCCCTCCTGCAGTTTTATGCACTTGCAAAATCGCAGTGTGACACAGTATTACACATGATGATACATCGTGTAAAATTGCTCTGGGATGAAATGTCACATAAGATGTTAAAACCCAGAGGAAAGGGAAGAAAAATCCACCCCTAGATATTTTGCAATGCCAGAGCCAAGATCCACCTCTCTAGCTCTTCCAGAGCATACAAAGCTTCATTAACATTCAAACACCAAAAAATCACAGAGCTGCAATACTTGATAAACCTCCACTTTTTTATGATTAACATGAACCTTGGCAGTCTCTAAGCAATATAAACACTCACAGAGGGGAAATAAAATTTAGCGAGCAGATAAAACCTGCAAGTGCTGCAGGCATGAATCTGTCACGTGTGACTCCTCGAGTGGGTAAAGGAAGGGGGGTATATGTCCACCCCTTCCCCAAAGTCTTACATGATTCCCAAAGGTTCCCTTAAGAGGGAATCGTTACCACACCAAAAAACTCCTCACCCTCCACAGAACATGGAAAGAGGCCCTTAACACCCATGACTGATGTCAGCTCCCCATCAACAGCACACTTGGGTGAGTTTCTCCCCACCTTTCCCACAGATGAAGAACATGTTCACAACAGCACGGATAAAACCAAAGATACATCCTCATCAGGCAACAGGACATTAAGTTGCCACTAGGTTTATCTCCAGTGAGATGATACCTAATTGCAGTGGTGTTTCAGTATTAACTGGCCTTCATGCTGTCCATCGAAGCATCCTTCCAGCTCTCTTTGATTTCAACAGCTGCCCGTGATTGTTTAAATCAAAAATTCCGTTTTTCCCTCTCCAGCTACAATGAAAAGCCTTATTTAAAAGCAAACCAGAGAACAATGCCACATCCAAACAGCAGGGCATTCTTTTAATAGCCACTTCCATTGCAACAGTTCTACATTTTTATTCCTTATTGCAAAAAATTTCTAGTTTATGCGCCCTTACTTTTCAGAGAGGGTGAACACCCTTCACTCCCCATGGAAGTCAAGAGCTAGGAGCTTCTGGTCCCTCCAAAGATCGAGCCTTAGGGCTTTGACAGTAATATCGATAACCTGCTGAGCTGCCACCTGCACTGGGCTGGTGCTGACCAACCCAAACCAGTGAGGTATTTCGGTGCCTTAGAGTCCTGGGAAACCTGAACGCTCTGGACATACCTGGGGAGGAAAGGAAGCAAGGAAAGGCAGATCCTGAACAGAACGTGATGGGAATGCTGCTGCAGAGCAGATATTCATAGGGAAGGATTTCCAGGCAGTGGA